AATATAATAGTAATATTTTATTTGCAATAATTCAACAATTAATTACTAATAATGCACTTGTTACATCGAAACAGTGTTATTCTTGCGATCACTTTCACTGATTCTACAATTGTTTACTATAAACTTCATGAAGGCATCGTTCCTCCTATAGATAAGAATAATAATAATGAAGAGAATGATGATGTTGATGACAATAAAGATGACATTGATAAATATATATGAATCGAGGTAAACTTAAAAGATATTTATTATTTAATTTAAATATTTCGGCTGTGTATTAGGTTTGCACTTAAAAAATTTATTATTGTTGTTATTAGTGATTAAACAGTTCAAATAAAAATTTCAAATTAAAATATTTTATTTGATTATTTAATAATTTATTCTCTTTTTATATTTTTATTCAATCCTATTTTTCCTAATACCCAACGTTTAATCCCATAACTTTTATTTGCTAGGGTTGATGCGTTTTCTATTTTCGATGATGAAGGTGATTTTACGAATGAAATACCTCCATCATTTGAAACTATGGCATATGACATTGAAGGAAGATAAGGTGGTGATGATAACGATGATGATGGTTTCTTATTATGTGAGTTCATTGGATCTGCTGCCACAATCTCTTCTATTGAGGGTGATGCTAAACTAAAATTTTGACAAAAATCAATTAGATTATTATTATTATTATTAAAAATATTTAATTACTTTTTGTGCGAAGATTCTTCCTCGACTGTTGAAGATGTTGTCATTGTTGTTGTTGGAAATGAAGAAAAGAATTGGGTTAATCTGGCGATAATTGAAAATTGAAAATTTACCAAAACCTTGAATAATAATTATATAAAGAAATGTATTATTTATTGATTATATTATTTACCGATCAATTGACCATTCTTCCGCTGATGAACAAGGTAAAATTATTTCATACATTGACTGATAAAAAAATCTAAATTAATTAATTAAGTTGCTATCTCTTCTAATATATAAAGAACTTTACTTCTTGATTTTGTTTTCCCTTTATAATACATCTTTGTAATTGTTCAACCTCTTCAACATTAACTTCGAACCATGATTTAACTTAATAAAAAATTAGAAATCATTGGAAATTAGTATTACTGGAAAATCTAAATTAAAAAATTATCAATAACAAAGGAAATTACCCAGAGTTAAATCAAGATAAACGAGCATAAGACAATTTGCAATTTGTGGATATTTTTCACAAAATAATGAAATATGTTCCAACTAATATTGTAATTGCAACTATAATTATTATAATTGTGATAAAATAAGAAATTATCTTTTATATGCGTTTATTTGTTTATTACCTTTGAATTAACACCCATTTATTCTGTTAAAAAAATTTTTTCAAAAAAAAAATTTGACCAGATAATCAGTTACTGATTATTGCCTCCTACCAGAATCGAACTGGTGACCTTCTGCTTACAAGGCAGACGCTCTGCCAACTGAGCCAAGAAGGCTATTACGTGACTAAGATCAAATTAGAGATATATAATTAATTCATATTAAATTATCATGATACAAATTAAATACAAATATAATATGTCTTAATAAATGCTTGGCAACTCTACCTCTGGCTATAAAATATACTCAAGAATTATTCGCGCTTCTATTGGGGTAACTGCTGATTCGGTATGAGGTCTGGAAACAATAATATTTGAATTTGTCTAATGTGATGCTAAATAATATTATAAATAACATGTCATTAGATTAGATGGTAAATTAGATTGCGCAAATTGATTGT